GTTTTGAAAACCAAGGCAAGCAGATTGCAGAAGTTGAAATGCCCAGAGCTTCCTATACCCAGAACACCCTGATTAGTTTCTGCTAGCATGTTGAGATTCTCAGGGATGCCAGCAGAGAAGAGAGGGCAGATTAGAACCAGCTTTTGCTCTAGATTTCAAACTAAGTTTTAAGATAATCAAGGACCTAGTCCATTCTTTCATGAGCCTACTTCCTAGTAGTTAAACTTCCCAAAGCCAACTTATTTCCATCTCTATTTTCTGTTGATTTCCCAGAACAAGCTATATTTCTGTACAGATGCCTGGAGTGTTACTAAAATTTGACAGTCTCTCAAAAGGGCTAAAAATGATGCAGAGGATGCAGAATTACTGTATTTTGAGTGGACTGTTTCTCTGTATTTGGAAAGAAAGGAATGTACAATCAAATTAATATTATTATATTGTTTTCCTTTAGACTATGGAAAAGCTAGTATAGCAGTAGGAGTATAGGCTGGTAATTTGACCAGAAGCTCTTGAAATAACCAAGGATGTTTCAATTGATTTCTGTTTCTTTTTCCCAATAAATTTCCCGTAGCAAGCTGAGATATTCACAACTGTGTCATTGATTTTTAATGCTGCCCTTGCGCTATTAGAGTGGCCCTTCAACACCTGTTAATGTTGCAGGTGGTGCTCCTGCTACTGAATGAATTTTAAAAATATGGTTTCATCTGTTTTTTCTTTTCTTCACTTTTTCGTGACTCCTAAATTTGTTTCAGAGACTCAAGGAAGAGGCCAGCTTGTCACATTGTTGACAGCTCTCAAAGCACTTTATGCTTCACTGAAGACCCATCAAACATGTCCAAAGCATCAGCTCATTAGTACAAAATGAGACATCAGGAATCCATCTCAGTGGTCCAACTGTGTCTTCTTATGTATTCCAAACTGGGTGAAGCATCTGAAACAATGCCTAAAGACCAAGGGGAGCTGAGTGCCGGGCACTAATTAGTCAGTTTTGAAGGAAGGAGACAAGGGTGAATTCAAGGGACAATGGGGAGAAAAGCCAGGATTACCTGTGTCAGCAGAAGGATAATGCATTGACTTTTCTCACTGTTCACAGGTCACTGAATGCCAGACCTGTCCTGGCCTAGGGCTTTCAGAACCCAAAAAGATTGTGTATTCAGGTCCAGAAAGGGTTAAGAGAGGTCCCAAGTATGGAAAGGGACTTGTCCAAGGTCAATCAGCTCTTCCCGGTGTTCCTGGCACCAGCTGGCTTTTGGTTATCTGACCTCTGTGCAATCAATTTCCAATTACTTGGGCCATTCCCCACTAGCCTTGCCATCACTTGGATAATCCAAAATGACACATACATTAACCATCGTTTACATTGGGCTTTGTGATGTGTGTTTATACTGGCATTCCATTGCATCTGTGTCTAATCTGAGAATTCACAACACTTCAAATGAAACACGAAAACCTCCCTGAAGGTTTCATTCAGGAAGAGTTGGGAAGCTGACCAGCCTTACAGAAAAGACAGCATCACAGGATGTTACACAGCTCCTCAACAGGGCACGTTAATTTCAGCAAGTTATCACTTCTCAGCCTTTGGCTAACATCATGTGTAGTTTCAGCAAGTTAATTCACACCTTTCCTGGACCCTTGCCAGTGTTACTAGCGGGGAGGGGAGGGACAGAAAAAAAAATCTGTTATATAATATAATTTATACTATATTATATTATATTACATTATATTATATTATATATAACTTCTTTTGTTTCTCTCTCTCTTCCATTTATTTCTCCTTCCTTTACTAGAAATGTGACCATCTGTTTTATCTTCCATATAAACAAATGTGTGGTTCAGCCACTGACCTGGAGAACTGGCTGTCAGGAGGCCAAACAATAAATGAAAGATGTGCTGGATCTCAAGAATCTAGAGTTGTAGGGGGAGGAGAAAAATCAACGGGCAATCATTAAAAAGAACTCTGAAGTCCAGAAGAGGAAGCAGTCCATTATGCAGCTCAATAAATCATTTGGATCTGGAAATGTGCTAGTTTGGAGTATGATCCAAAGGAGTCCAGGGCTCTGGGACTGTGTCCTGGCTAACTCAAATCTGCTGGTTTCTTGTCTGAGCTCTCTCACACTTGTAGTGAAAGTAGCATTATTAAAATTGACATGTCTGTTCTGTTCTCATTACTGGTGACCAAGAAGGGTGTGAAGCAGAAAAAGGGACAGGAAGGGTCAGCTTGAGGCTATAGACCGGGCAAGAGCCTCTACAAGGGCTTAGACAGCGGTGGCTGAAGTGGCATGAGGGAATACAAAATGCTCATGCCTTGGCTGCAGCAGTAATTAGGCATTTTAGTTTAAATGGTTTTGAATCCTCATTTCATCTCTGGGCCTAGAACAAACACAATTCTTGCTGATGTAACAGAGTCCCTAATTAGCTAAAGATAGTGCTTAATATCAATACACATTCAAGGGAAGACTTGTTGTGGTACTAGTAATGTGGATAATTGAGTTGCATGAATAAAAAAGTGGGTAGAGTGAATTAAGACTAATGGAGATCATTGGGAATGTTTATTAGCATTCATTAGTCAGACTGCTGTTTGTGGTTCTCTGTCAGCTCCAAGAAGCACGCCCAAATGCCTGATCTCTGGTTTAAGTTCTGCCTGCTGTCCATGGCCTTCCATGGTGCAAAGGAATGAGTCATTGGAATATAATTTTTCTTTGTTTTTCCCTAATTTTTTTTGATGGTAGGTGACAGTGACTGTAATGTTATATTGATGATGACCATGGAAATAAAATTGTAATCCTAATTAATTTGCTAGAAATTGTTCCTCTCTTACCAATATTGGCTTTTTATGTCTTGAATGGCAGCCCAAGCACCAAAGCAAAGGTATATATACATTCTTGCATATACATTCATATACGTATATATTTATAGACATATATGCAACATATGTAGTGTATATAGAATAGTAAATATGAATGTACATATAAATGTGTAGTGTATATATACAATATATGTGTATATAGTATATGTGTATATATATGTATGTCACTTGACTAACATCGTCAGGAAAAGCAATGCATTTAATAGTAGTCTATGATTTAACTTAGATTGATTTAGTTCAGGTTTTTGATGTCCAGAATTAACCTTTTCCTCTGTGCTTTGTTGGGGGTGGTGTCTCATCTGCCAAGTTATACATGAACTGGCTGCTCAGCAATACTTCAATGGCAAAGGGATAGATTTTGCAGATGCAATAGATGACTAAAGGGTTGTAACAAGGACAGAAGTAAATGTGAAAGCACTTTCGCTGAAGACTGGCCCCTGGTTGCTCCACTTAATGTCTAGTTTTTCCATAAGACTGGTAAATCATCCCTACCTGTCCTATCCCTATCCCAAACAACTTCTCTTAATCACATTGCATATGAAACTGTTTCCTACCTGTCCATTACAGTGGGCATATAAATGTTAGACAGTAACTCGCCTTGTAAACTAAGAACTATGAGCTTTGTTTATGTCCATATCTCTAGCTTTTAATATGCAGTCTTGCACTTAATAGAAATTTACTGAACATTTAAGGAATAATGGATGAGACGACTCAAATTGATATTCTAATAGGTAGAACTCACCTTGGTGGTAAAAGGAAGCTTGCATATAAGATCAGCATGAGGCAAGGACCCTCAGGGACCTTGTTTGCTTTGTTTTTGTCTACCGCACATGTTATGATTTCTGCCTTAGTGTTTGGTACTTCCAGGCTTGATCATTTTTTTAGCCATGGTCACAAGAAGCACCATAGTCTCAGCTTTTTTGGCATGTACAGTGTGCCAAGCACTGAGAGCATTATGCTAGGCACTTGCTAAAGAGCCACCGCTAATTGAGTGACTACTTTGAACCGATTTTGTATCTTTTGAATTTGCACTGCTACTTGCAAACTATTGATCTGAAAGCTACCATTAAGGTCTTCAGAGTCAGCCCTCTCGTTATAATAATAACAGCTCATATTTATTCAAGACTTACTGTTCCCAGACATTCCATATGAAGCTACTTCAAAAACTTTGTGGGGAAATGAAATTTAATAATCATTTATAGAAACCATTCATAGAAAAAAAATTAAATCCATGTATAATTTCTCATAATATGCATTTCCATGAAGTGTTTGAAGACTGTGTATAGATTTCAACATTTTGTTTACCTAAATCATTTAATTTTTTACTACCCTTTATTTTGATTATAATTTTTAAAATTTATTTGAAAGACAGAAAGAGAGAGGAAGAGAAAGCGAGGTGTCCCATTAACTGGTTTACTGCTCAATCTCTTGCAAGTGCAAGGGCTGGGCAGGGTCAAAGCTAGGAGCTGAAAACTGAATCCAGGTCCCCTAGGCAGGCACTCAAACACTTTGCCAGTGCTGCTTTTTCCCATGGTGTACATTAGTAGGAAGCTGGAGTTGGAAGGAGAGCTGGGACTTGAATCTAGGTACTTTGCAAAATCTTAGCCACTGCTCCAAATATTAGTCCCTTCCACAAGCCTTTTGTGGAACACTCACATGCTAACGATCCCCTGAGACCAGTATCTTGGTATCTACATTTCACACACAAGATAATTGAGACATAGAGTTGCTACATGATTTACTTAGAGTCGTACCACTGTGAAGTAGTAGAGCCAGAATCCAAACTCTAGCTTGTCATTCTACTCAAGGATAGGAAAAGACAGCAAAGTTCATTTGGCTGGAGTCTAGATCTTGTGGCTGTCATTTGTGGCTCTATTCTGCTGTGTCATGCTCAACTTTTCTTTGCTTCAGGCAGGGGTTGCTTGCTTTTTGTTTCCTTCTTTCTCAAGGGCTTGCCCAAATTTTGCCTTCACTAAATGATGGCCCGTGATCAGCACCTTAGGTGCTCTTGGGAGCTGGCTGCAGTGATTTCCCAGTATTGTTTGTGGGTCCATGGTTGAGAGAAAACAGGAAGTAGAATTTGGAGGAAGAATTTGCCTTACCACCTGCTTTCTGTTTGTTCTTTGCAACGCAGATTGAAGATGGAGGCAAAGCAGCCCTGTCCCAGAAGATGAAGACTGGTGATGAGCTGGTGAATATCAATGGCACTCCATTATATGGCTCCCGCCAAGAGGCCCTCATCCTCATCAAAGGCTCCTTCCGGATCCTCAAGCTGATTGTCAGGAGGTAAGGTGCAGGAGACTTGCTGTAAGGAACAGAAGCCCTTGAAACTACTTGATTGGTAATAAAGCATTGATAGAGGTATGCCCCTAATAAAGCCATCAAGGACAGTGGGGTTTCATGGGAACAGAATTCTATGGACAACTGAAACAGAATGATATAGAAGAAAGGCCTTTTGGGGCAAAGCTTGATACTGCCACATACTAGCCATGTTGCTATTCATCATTTATTTTGTCCCTGTAAGACTCAGTTTTTTATATGGACTTGAGAAAACTAAGCGACTCAAAATACACCAAATGCCTACTTAACTCAACATTTTTCCCATTTCCTCTTTCATAACAGGTTGCCACTGATCAACCACATATCAGTGGAGATTTAAAGGGACCCTGGCAAACTTTAAGACAGAAACTCTACTCTTAATGAATGTTACAAACTAACAGGGGAGAAAAGACACACATGTGACCAACTAACAATAGATTTTTTTTAAAAAAAGAGAAAGCAGTAGAGGAGGTTTCACAGGGTTTTCTGTGATTTTCAAGTAGATTGTTCAAACAGAAAATTGCTATTATAATTAGAAATAGAAATCACTTTGGAAGGGATCAATGATCACAGAGGAGGCAGAATTCAAGCAAACATGGAGATTTTGAAAAATAAGATATTCCAGGTAATTGGAATGACAAAGAAGCAAAAGGAAGGTAAGGAAAATGCATATTATGAAAAACATGTGGATTTCAAAAGTTTCACCACAAGGTACATTATGTTTTGACACAAATTGTTGAGATTTGCTCATCCATGGACATGGAGGTTATGCAGCAAAGCTGCTGCGTGTTGGTAAACTTGCTCTATGGCCTTTCTCTCATTTGGCCTTTGCTAGGACTCCTGGCGCTCAGACTTACTCGTCTCTGTTGATTTGTTTCCTTTAGCCAGTTACTTGCCTGCCGTTCTCCATCTTAGTGCTTGTTAGAATACTATTTGAAAGCATCTTCGTACACTCCTCCTTCTGTCAGCTGCCCATCCTCCTTCCTCTGTTCACATTCAATCTCAAAAGGAGTCTGTGCTCCCTGTCTCCACTTTTGCACCTGCCATTTCGTTTTCCACTCCCTACAGTCTGAATTCAGATGCTCAGAATGCCACTGGAACAACTCTGATTTTAAAAATGCAAATAATTGAATATTCTAAGCCCATGGAGTCTTTCCTTTATTTTTAGTTTCTTTTTTTGTAAAATAGCTAGTTAATAATAATTGTACACATTTATGGGGCAGAGGATGACACTGATTTTTCTCCTTTGTGCTTCTAGATGCATTTTAAAAATGTATTTTAAGATTCAACAATTTTTAATGTCGTACCATGTTTGCTTCATGTGTAGCTATAATACACACGTAAGAATACTCTTATTTCTGGGCCCGGCGCGGTGGCGCAAGTGGTTAAAGCTCCTCGCCTTGCACGCCCAGGATCCCATATGGGCGCCGGTTCTAATCCCGGCAGCTCCACTTCCCTTCCAGCTCCCTGCCTGTGGCCTGGGAAAGCAGTCGAGGACGGCCCAAAGCCTTGGGACCCTGCACCCGCGTGGGAGACCTGGAAGAGGCTCCTGGCTTCGGATTGGCATAGTATCGGCCTGTTGCGCTCACTTGGGGAGTGAATCATCAGACGGAAGATCTTCCTCTCTGTCTCTCCTCTCTGTATATCCGCCTTTCCAATAAAAAAATAATAAAAATAAATCTTTAAAAAAAAAAAGAATACTCTTATTTCTTTGAAAACCGGGAAGTTAATATTGTAAAATGAGAGATTCATGGCAATGATCATAAACTGAGGAAAGACATATAATGTCACGTAGATGGTATAATTTAGTGAAGACTATGTTTATAAACTGTATATGAAACAATATAATACCAATACCATCTTTATACTCTCTCTATATTAACTTCCACATATGAAAAAAAAGCATGATTATTTTTCATTCTGTGTCTGGTTTATTTCACTTAGCATAATGACTTCCAATTCCATCTACTTTTTTACAAGGGTTAGGATTTTGGAGCCAGTGTTGTAACATGGTAAGGCTGCCCAGTATGATGTGGGTAGTCCATATGTGTAACAGTTGACATCTTGGTTGCTCCACTTCTGATCTAGTTCATTCCTAACCGCTTGGGAAAAGCAGCAGAAGATGACCCAAGCATTTGGGCCCCTTCCACCTATGTAGGGTACCTGGATGAACCTCCTGACTCCTGATCCATCTCTGGCCATTGTGTCCATCTTGGGAGTCAAATAGTGGATAGAAATCTCAGTAAGTTTTAATTTTCAAATGAAGAAGTGAATCTCTTGAAAAAGTCAATTTCGTTATTTTTAAAAAAGATTTATTTTCATTTTATTTGAAAGGCAGAGAGACAGAGATAAAGAGATCTTCCATCTGCTGGTTAATTCCTAAAGGTCATGGGCCATGAGCAAAGCCTGAGCAGAGCTGAAGGCAGGAGCAAGGAGCATCTTCTGATGTCTCACATGGGTGTGGGGCCTGAGGACTTGGGCCATCCTCTGCTGAATTCTGGCGCCATTAGCAGGGAGCTGGATTGGAAATAAAGCAGCTGGAACACGAACCTGATCATATCTGGGATGCTGGCACTGAAGATGGAAGCTTAGCTTAATATACTACAGTACCAGCCCCAGGATTTTTTTTCCCAGTTGCGTGATATTCCACTGTGCATATATATCATACTTTCTTTATCCAATCATCAGGTGATTGGTATTTAGATTGTTACCTTTGCCATTCTAAATTGGGCCACACAGGAGTACAGTTATCTCTTTGATGTATTGACTCCTCTGGACATATTAATAAGGAGTGAGATGGCTGGGTCATATGGTGGATCCCCTTTTGGGTTTTTTTTTTTTTTTTAGTATATTCCATACTGTCAGATCATTGTTGGTGCATAAGAATACTTGTTTTATTTATTTGTTTATTTTGGATCCTGCAATTTTGCTCAATTCTTTTATCACATCCAATAGTCTCTTAGTGGAGTCTTTCATTCTATGTAAAGAATCATGGGATCTGAGAACAGACACAGTTTGACTTTCTCTTCTCCAATTTGAATCCCCTTTATTATTACTTTTGTTCCCTATTGGTGCTGGCTAAAATTTTCAGAAATATGTTGAATAAAAGTTGTGCAAGTAGGTATTTTTGCCTGGTTCTAGATCTGAGTGGGAAGGCCTCCCCTCTAGCTTTTTCCCCATTCAGTATGATTGTGGTTGTAGGATTTTTACACATTGTATTTATTGACAATGTATGTTTCTTCTATATCTAGCATTTGAAGGGTTATATCATGAAAGACTATTGTATTATACCAAATGTGTTCACTGTGTCTGTTGAGATAATCATATGGATTTCATCCTTTATTCTGTTAATGTGATGTCTCATGCTTATTGATTTGCATATGTTGAATAATCATCCTTGCATCCTGGGAAAAAGCCCTCTTTGTTGGTGTGGATAATCTTTTGAAATATTGCTGAATTTCCTTTGCTAGTATTTTGTTGAGAACTTTTTGCTTCTACATTAATCAGTGATAGTGGGCCATAGTTTTCTTTTTTATTGTTGTATACTTCCTGGTTTTGGAATTAAGGTAATGCTGGCCTCATAGAATGAGACTGGAAGACTTTACTCCTTTTCAACTGTTTTGAGTAATTTGAGAAGAATTCATATTGCTTTTTCCTTACAGCTTTGGTTAAGCCTTGAAATGACCTGTTCCTGGGCTTTTCTTTGTTGGGAGACTCCTTGTTACTCTTTCAGTCTCAACATTTGTTATTATTTCAGATTTTCTATGTATTCATACCTCAGTTTTGGTAAATTATATGTTTCCAGAAATCTCTTTCTTCTAGATTTTCCAATTTGTTGGCATATGGGTTTTCATACTAGTTTTTAATTGATTCTTCAAAATATCTCCTTTTTCATTCCTAATTTTGTTGATTTCTCTTTTTTCTTGTTCTAGTCAATGATCAGTGTTTTAAATCCAGCTGTTCATCTTATTAGTTTTCTGTATTGCTTTTTAAATTTTTCTTTCCACTTTTTGATGTAGGAATTTATAGAGTTTCCTTTTGGTTCTTATTTCCAGCTTCATTCCATTGTGATTCAGAAAAGGCATACAATACAATTTCAATTTTTAAAAATGCTTTCAGAATTGTTTTTATGGTCTGCTATATGGTTGTCTTAGAGAATGTTCCATGTACTGATGAAAGAGAAAGTATGCTTTGCAGCTGTGGGGTAAGAATGCTTCCTAGGTGTCTGTCAAGTTCATCGGTCCATAGTGTAGATTAGCACTGTTGTTTCTTGTTTGACATTTCTTGCTGGGTTGATCCATTGGTGCAAATGGGATCTTACTGTATTAGAGCTTGTCTCTCACTTTTAGACTTATCAATGGTTATTTATATAAAACTGGGTACACTGGATGTAAGTGCATATGCATTTATAATAGTCATATCTTCTTGCAGAGTTGATCCATTGATCATTATATAGTGATCTTCTTTGTTCCTTTTAACCATTTTTTAAACCATTTTTTAACCATTTTTTAAAATTTTATTTTATTTTTTATTTTTATTGGAAAGTCAGATTTGTAGAGAGGAGAGACAGGAAGAAAGATCTTGAAACCACTGGTTGACTCCCCAAGTGGCCGCAACGGCAACAGCTGAGCTGATCGAAGCCAGGAGCCAGGAGCTTCTTCTGGATCTCCCACACAGGTGCAGGGTCCCAAGGCTTTGGGTTGTCCTCAACTGCTTTCCCCAGGCCATAAGCAGGGAGCTGGATGGGAAGTAGTGCATCATTTTTAATCTACGTCACATGTAACTTAGAGAAGCCGTTTGAAATTATTGCTCTGGATTATACCTTCCACCCTCTTTTATAAAACACTTCGTTTCAACATGCTGAAAAACATCTTGCTTTCTGATTTTTCTGTTTTTTAAACCAGATTCCTTGACAACCTGCCCTTCCAGTCCTTAGCTGTTTGTGTTTTCCTAAGTCCCACCCTTTC